GGTGTGCCAAAAAAAAAAAAAAAAAAAAAAAAGTACCAGGAGTGGTCATCGTACGACAATGAACACACGAAATAACAAAAAAGATAGTGAAAACTAGTGTGACTAAAGTTTTCATAATGATAGCCATTTTTACAATATTTTCTTTTAATCTTATATTACGCTTACGATGATTATATATAAGATAACAGAACTATAGATTAAACATATTTCTTGGTCAAAAATAAAAGACACCTTCTGATTTATTTCTTTAATAAACTTACAGTCAAAAGAAAATTACTTTGAATGGAACCAACTAAAATAGAATGTGAGAAACATTGGCCCTGTCTTTAGAGAAAATTTGGAAAAAAAAACATTTATATGGGTTTCTAATTTGGAAACTACATCACTATCTGAATTTCTTTTTGAAAATTATACTTTATATGTAAACTGACTGAATGATCCAATAGTTATTTAAATATTTAAACTAACAAAATAAAAAAATAATTTATTTATCTTATATATTAAAACAGAAGTCATGACTTGACTTCATGTGTGAGTTTTTTAAAAATGGATTATTACTAGAAAACCATGTTACATTAACTTTCTAATAATCTTATTATTATTATATCTTATGAAAAATCATATCTAGAATAATAAAGATACGCTTAACAATTTGGTTTTGGTAAATTACCCCACATCTTCCAACTTAGTCACGCAAAATATGTCAATAGAATAAGTTTAGGAATCTTCTATTATTTATAAGAAAATATGTCAATAATAGTTAAATGCACCCAGAATATATTAACAAAAATCACAGATTTGTACTATGGAATATTTATATACCCTAACAAAATTTAAACGCTATATATACTAGATAAATTTATTTCAATGTAAAATTTTAAAATTATATTTTTTAAAAAATTGTTGAAAAATTCATTTTTAATAAAACTATTTATAATATTAATTTATGAAGCTATAAGTTTAGTTTTTAGCATAAAATTCTTCCAAGTTTATATTATCTTTGCAAATTAAAGTATACTAATATTTAATTAAGCTCTATTTATATTACTTTATCTAAAAATGAAATACTAATCTAACAAACAATAAAATATAGAAGAAGAAACAAACACATGTTTGAAAAACATGTATAATATAAAAAATTTGAAACAATCTATTTGATTACAACACGTATTATATAATATTATTATGTTTGAAAACATTTACTATACATATCATAAATATGTGATTACTATAATATATACAAATTTACAAATGAAAAAAAATGTTTATATAACTAACTATAAACGAAAACAAACATCCGCGCGGTTGCGCAGGTCAAAATCTAGTTTTAATTTTAAAATAGTACTATTAGTATCTAACGAATATAAATATATTTTAATTTTTTGAAGCGTTTTTTTTATAACTGGCTTAGAGCATGTTTAATGGAGGTTGCTTAGAGAGTTGCTTAAGAGGAGATGAGTGTTTAATTTGAAGAGAGAGAGTTGCTTAAGAGGAAAGAAGTTGCTTAATTAAGCACTTTTCACACTCTCTCTCTTCAAATTAAGCACCCCTCTCCTCTTAAACAACTCTCTAAGCAACATGCATTAAACATGCTCTTAGATATTAAAACTTTCGCGTATCTTCTTGTATTTTTCTAGTTTCTCAGTTTTTCTCATATCTTCTCATTCTATAATTTCTTTTCTGGTGCTCTATTTTTATATTGCATATCTTCTCATTCCTTTCGTAGCTTTAACTTAATTTTCAAGTTGGATTTTTTTGTGAATTTTTATTGTTCATATTGTTTTCCAAATCGGTCACATGTCAGTATAGTTTTTCGACAAGGCTTCAGTATGCGATAACTTTTTCATTCTTCGCAATTTCAAGTTGTTGTGTTTTCCTTCTCCCTTTCTTTGGCCAGTACTTAGTTCTTTTTTTAACTTAATACTCCATGACTATTACATCACTACAAACAGATAAAAGTAAGAATCAAACGCTATATTAAATGTCATTGTTTTGTTGCACAAAACATATGGAGTGTAGCAGGTTTTTAGACAAGTTCTGTGTTTCAAGGTCAATCTCTGGTAGAGAAGTTAACTAGAGGTTTTGGAAGTTAAATCTGATTCATTCTCCATTAAAATCTTACAAATCAGTAAGAGTACTAGCTAGGTCCGGATTAACCGTAAGATTCATGCTTAACGGCATTACAATCATGCGTTTTTACTCTTTCTCCACTCTACAATCATTTTTTTTTGTTCATTTATTTTTCTGTAATTGGTGAAAGCAAAGCAGAACCCAAAGAAAAAACAACAATTTTCTATAGCGTTTAGAAATTTTGTCTGTCTAAGAACTAATTTTGTAGTTGGAAGAAATTAAACTCATGGAGTCCCTTAAGAGCGATTATTGAACGTGACTGAAATGGATCAACTCTAATGGGCCTGGGCTTCGTGTTAGACAAGTAAGCGTAGACATTTCCGCTTAAACCCTAGACAATAAAACGTTCATTTACCATCTAAAATCTAAATCTTGCTGAAACTCGAGCCGATCCATTCTCCTTCACCGTTGATTCGAAGAGAAAAATAGCAAAGCGTTTAATCCCGACGCTCAACCATGTGAAAGCAGACCCAGTGTTCTTTACTTCTTTTGCCTGAGCTTCAAGTGAAGCTTGGAGAGTGAGCAAGAGTGTAGGCTGTACACAAGACCGGTTTTGATGGCTGTACACTTCATGATTGATGTGTTGGCTAGCGAGAGAGAGACAGAGAGTTCTGTTTTATGCTGCATGGCTTTTTAGAAATTCAATAATTTTCTTACATGATCATGCATAATACACCATCTAATTGTTTTTACGTAGATATTACTGATTACAAACTTATAAGTTATGTCGGCTGATTATGAGTAACAGAGAAACACTATTTTGGTTTCTCTGTTCCAAGAATAACTTCCCTTTTGTACTATTCAAGAAGCTTATTACATGTTCCAACTCCAATGGCTGCAGCAAGGTGCCAACCAGCGTGAAGGAACTGTGTCTCGGGGAAGAAATCATCAGCTATGAACAGAGCACCTCCTAGTAACGAAGACATCTTGTGTACGTTATGAGCTGTTTTGAGATCTGGATCCTTTAAGCTTCTTTTTGCAAACGCCACCTGAGTAAAAATAATGTGTCATTCACTTAAATTAATTCAACGAGTGTTAAGTGTTGATGAACTCTAGTACCTCCATCATTCCGGTGTGAACAGCAGATACCATTAGAGGCTGAAACGGTAGAACTAAAGCTGATGCAGCCATTAAGAACTTTGGGTTCTCATTCCTTAGAGCCCTTGAAAGACACTGTCCAATACACAACCAAATCTAACTGGTTATATTGGCTAAAGACAGTAGAGCCGGTCCTGAGCATAACTAAGTGAAACATTGACTTTGACCTCAAAAAAATATCAAGCTAATATAAATTGTTAAGAAACAAAATGTCTTACTAAAATCCTTAATAAATTGTTTTTAAGACCCCCAAAATTTCTGAATAGTGTAGCTTACTACTGTTGTTGTGGCGATCATAGTGTAATCTAACCATCTCAAGTACTTCCTCAACTTTCCTCTAGAGGCATGATACATGCTCGACGCGATTCCAACTCCAATTAGGGAGTTTGCGTACACCTTTGTGTTCATATTCTTCCTAACTTGCATAATTTCTTGTCAGAGGATGCCTATTTACAAATGGATTTGGAAAATAGAGAGAGTGGGAGCATTTACCTTGGTGCTTGCATTCCAAGGAAGATGAAAGGAAGGGAAGTAGCCACGTTAGCTGCTGTTTCCAAGACACTCTGGTCACCTGTCAGTACATCATTCATTCGTGAGAATGGGAAGACAAAAATGAAAAAAAAAATCATATATAATGTTAATAAGAATACCGTGAATGCAGCAATGGATTGGCCTTAGACATGGAGGTCTTTGTTGCCAAACACGTCTGTAAAAAGAAGATAAACCAAGTTATGACTATTATCATTTTACGAAGGTTAAAAAATAAAAACATCCGGTCATGCACTTACTCGATGAACAGTCTTTGATTTGTTCCCGTTTCTGAGGATTTACAATTGGTCTGGAAGTCACCAGCTTGGGTTGTTCGGTCGTATGAGAAAGGCGACACGACGTGAACTCCATGGATACCCTCAAGGGCGTTGCTTGATTTTGTTGCAGTTTGGAGGCTCATTAGCTCTTTCTCAAATCCCCACAAACAGACCAAACTCACTTCTTTCGCCAGCAAAGCTATTACTTGCTGGCTGTTTCTGTTTGTTCTGTAATGATTAAAAAAAAAAAAAACATAAACCCATAATCGAGTACAAGTAGCCTTGTAGATTCTGTCAACCCACATAAACATTAACAATAAACAACTATAAAACACGACGCAGCTAGAGAGAGAGAGAGAAATCGAACCTGGAGGAATGGCTGTAACGTGAGAAAGTGTTGGAGAAGAAATGCATAAATAATGGAGAAGGAGCAAGAGGGAGAATATAGAAAGAGAGATGCGAATGAGTGAAGAATCTTCCTCCTTAACTCTCTTACTCCACGGCATATTCTCATCGTCAATATTCTTATTGTGGTTACCCGGCCCGGTTTTTCGGGTTAGAAACCGGTTGATCCGAAACTCACGTTCATTTCATGCATGGGTTTATAATATGGGTCATATAAGGACGAAGCCCAATGTATTAGGCGAACTGGACTGTGTGGTAGATGCTGTCTTATGAAGCGAGAAATCTTTCGGGCATGTACTTTCGAGAAAGTATTGTGGGCTTAAGTTAAGATTAACTTGACAAGGAATCAATATGTCTATTTTTATAATATATAATATAAATTTTATTTATTTTATATTATATTCATTTAATATGCACATATATATATATATATATATATATATATATATATATTTAAATGTGTATATTTTAATTTTGCGTTAAATACATTAAAATATTAATTTAATTATTAATTAATTTTATAATATAGATTGTATTTACATTTAACTATATAAAGTAATTTACCGGTTAACTCGATGAATCATTGAGGAAAAATATTTTTTGAACATCATTGAACAAATAATATTTTATGGTGATACATATTTAATTTAACAATTTTGTAATTGGATTAGTTATTTTCATACCAATTAATGAGTTGAAGCATAATTGAACATTTTGTTAATAATTATATTCAAATATAATTTTTACAAAGTATAAATATTTACATATTTTATTTTGCATTTTAAGCTGATATAAAATTTATATTTATAATTATGTTGCTAGGTTAATTTGCACTAGAGGTGATACATAAGTTATTGTTGTATTTTAAGAATCTTACCGAAACTGTAAAACTTTATAAATGAAATTCTACATGTCATATTAAGAATTAAGATATATTATCATTTTTACTATCTCTTGTAAGTTTTTATTAGTCAAATTCATCTTTTTGGAGAAAGAATTACTTTACAAATAATATTCAGGGATGTGATAAAAACTGTAAATTAAGTATATGTATAGTTGTGTTGATTCTATTTTAACTTCGTTTAAATTTAGGCTACTTGAAAGGAGTAAGATCTTATGTAGATCAAATTTAATTGATAGTTTAAACTTAATAGTTTTTGCGGTTTGGGATTTCGTCTATTCATCTATATAAGGCTTTGGAGTTGTATACCTACTAACAATTAGTGCTGTTCCGCCTAGCTCGACTTGGGTTGATGTTATTTTCCAAAAAAAAATTGACCTACATATAAAATTTAGTAAATCATCTCCATCCATCGGACATGGGTTTTATGGGACCGCAAATCATGATAATTTAATAAAAATATAAAAACTTTTTAATTATATAATTGTATATTAATAAAACAAAATGATTACAAAAAAGTATTTGTATCTATTATATTAAAATAGAAGTCATGACTCACTTCATGTGTGATATTTTAGTTTGGACCATCTTTAGAATTTTATAAAATTTTACATAACATTATAATATCTTTTTATATCTTTAATTTTGTTTGAAATACAAATAAATAGTTTTAAGAAAATTTTAACAAAATCTTTTAAAAATCTTTTAGAACCTTTTTCAAGATATAGTTTCAAAAATTATTTGATTAAAATTTTAATTACATAAAATATAATTAAAAATTTAATTCATTTTTAATTTATAAACAAAAAATTAAAATTATGTAAAATACTTTTAACAATATCCCAAAATTTTGTTTATGTATTATGTAGGTCCAACTTAATTAATTTTTACATAGATTTCAAATTTAGAAATAAAACAAAATATATACATTAGTAATCTTACATTATAATGTTTTTAAAAATTATTACAAAAATAAAAATTTATAAATTTTATATTAATAATATTATAAGTCACATAAAATGATTATAAAATTGAATAGCATAAATAATCAAATTATACTTATTTATTGATAAATTTTATTATATAATTTCAAATATTTTTGTATTAAAATACCCGCACGGTTGTGCGGGTCGAAATCTAGTATATTCTTATAATATTTGTAATAAGATTAGATAAACAAGAATATTTTCTAAAAGATTGTTTTTATAAACTGGCGGATTGGCGGATATCCACAATTTTAAATGGTTGACTTGCATCCACCTCACATCCTAAATACTCAACTCACATCCAACGAATCTTGACCACTCCTGCAGTGCTAGGCTTGGATGTTTGGAAGCAGTCAGATTCGGTTCGCTTAATTCAGATTTTTGGATTTTTGATATTATATTCATAAGTCACCTTGAGATTTAACTAATTTTGTATCGGATTCAATTAGGTTCGGATTGGGTTATAACCAAAATTGATAGTGAATCGTTGAATTGTCATCTCTTTCGGTAGTTGTGATCATGTCTAAATGAGCGGTAGTTGTGATCATGTCTAAATGAGCACGAAATAATTTTCACAAAGGGATATATAACAAACCTAGATGAATTTTCACGCCATGTCGATACTGTATCTTAAACATAGTACTGAACTATTGATCGATAAACCGGGTCTTCGATTGTCTTTGGTACACGGACGTGCTCGACAATATATATAGCCGCCAATTAACAATCTTGAAACACGGTTTTGTGCCGAGAGACATAACTCATTCAGTTACCACAGTTGACTACAAGAATCTTAGATGATTTGTTATCCAGCTGAATGAAAAAGTGACGTATATCTTTTACATTCCACATGGTACTATCTTTCTCATTACCATTGTGATCTCTCTCTCTCTCTCTTTTTTTAATTTTTTTTTTCTTGTCTCCCTTAAAAACAGTGGTTTTCATAGCCTTTGATGGGCTCAAGAAAACCTAGCTTCAAAGCTCTACTTGTTTTAGCTAACCAATTTTACTTTATGAGTTAATTACCTCTCTATGCCATTAGTTTGTCTTTTTGACTTCAAATCTCAACTTGCTATTGACTCCCAATCTTAACTTGTGAGTTTTACTTTATTTCCCAAGTCTTTGATAATAGCAGCGAACAATGATCGTAGTGCGAATAAATTATTACTGAATCAATTCCCACAATTATAGGCTGTGAGAATCTTATTGTTGTCTTTATTGACTAGTTACCAGCTGGCCTAACTCCACTACTCTGCAAGACTGCAACTCTAATCCTTTATATTGGTTGTATCACAGTATCATCTATATATTTACACGCTATTAATTGTCTTGAATGATATATTGAACACGATGAGCAATACTTTGAGTGAGATTAGAAAAGCCGTGGTGCAGAATCTTTTTTTGCCGTAGCATATCCCTCAAGCTAGCTAAAAGCAAATTTTTTCTAATTCCACCGAATTTTCCAAAGAGAAAAAGGATACCCAAAAAATGATTCCCTTGTCACTATTCTTGGCTAAAAATTCATATCTTTAATTTAATTATTTTTTTTTCTCAAACACGTTTATTTGACATTATTCTTTGTGTAGTCTCCAGATAACGCTCTTAAGTTTCTTTCTTCTGTCTTTTTTCTTTAAAAACTTTACATACTTTCATTTAGTGAAGTTTACTTGCAAAAGTTTACACGTATAATTTCGTTTAGTTGTTATTGTTTTCTTTTATATTGTTAGTTGAATTACTCATCCTCACAGTGACTTTCCTAGAGTTACTAGATAGCACCATGCACGCATTGTTCCCAAAGTCGATTCATAGAAATTGTGTGGTGTTTCATGTATATACATGGCTGTCACTGATTATCAGATTATCTCATGGTAAGGGTTTCTAATTAGCTCTACTAGTTTGTTCAATTGTTTAGTTTACATATATATTGGTTTCTCTGAAAGTTGTTAATACTTTCAGTTTCAGTATGATTTCGCATTAAACAAACAAAAAGAGTTGTTACGTTGTGGCATCGGAATGTGAATAAATACGAGAAGTTATTTGCCGATACAACGTGGTTTCTGACTATTACAGACTCTACACGCACGGCCTCAAGACAACGTACATTGTCTGAATAATGATGTCGATCTATAAACGGGTCTAGTTTTATACAGTATATCGTAGATGCAAGTGATCGATAATAGCACCTAGTTATAACAATCTTGAAACACGCCTTTAATCGATTCCTCCAATTGACTACAAGAAATTAATCATAAAGCTGTTATCAGCTAGTTGGGCTGATTCCTTTCTTTGCCTAAGCGACCAACCATATATGTTCTAACATTCCGCAACTCTCTTGTTTTAGAATGATTCCTCTGCTATTTTGAGTTTCAAAACTAGGGTTGTAAATGGTGAGTGCAGAATGACATAAAACGCTAGCTAGTAAAATCCACAACTTGCTTTTACTACTTATTTATTTTTATTTTCTTAGTAGATTGTCGTTATTTGTTTCAGGTTGATATTTTAATTTATTAACTAGATTTTTACAGTACACCCGTACATATGTTTACTTTATCTTTTATATAAATATATATTTCTTGCAAGTAGACAATGTTATATTATTATTTTGTATTAAATATTTTTTTCTACCATCCTATAAGTAATCATATAGTTAATAGTGTTTTATACGTACCATTATATAAATAATTATATATATTATATTTTTAAAACTTAATGTAAAATATAAAAATTATATTTTAAGTTGATGTTTGAAATTGGGCTTTGTATTGTATTTTTTATATATCTATTTAAAATATTTTTATAATGGCTATTGGAGTCTATATAAACACATGATTATATTTTTGAAATCTATATAAACACATGATTATATAGATTTTTTTGGAAAAAAAATATTTTTTATATATATTTAAAAATCATATTGTATTTTTTTTATATACATGATTATTGAAGTCTATATAAACACAAGTAAATGAGGTTTTATTTCTCAATTAGTTTAAAAATTGAAATTAACCATATGGCTCAAGAAAGCGATGCAAAATTGTGTTTAGCTCCACATGATCCATGGGTCCTTAAGAAAAAGTTAACCGACTATATCTTTGCTATCCTGGTAATTTATGTCTTCCTAAGAGAGTTTTTGAAACTTTTATAATTCTAGAGATGGACAATATTATGGTCCAGAATTTGGAATCATCAAACGGTATAGAAGTGAAGCTTCATATTGTGGAGAAAGGTCATGAAGCTGATGATTACACATTAACATTCACGAAGAAACCCAAATATTTTCTTAAGGCAGGATGAAACAATATCGCTAAAGCAAAAGGTTATAATACTGGCGATAAAATTGGACTCATGTGAGATAAAAACTCTACAATATTTTTATTTCATGCATCATATCAAGTAGTCTTTTATTAATTATCATAGAAATGCTTCAATAATTACTAAGAGGTTTTAGTTTAATACATTATAATTATTTAAAGTGTTCTAAAGTGTTCTAAATTTTATATGTTTCACCATATAATGAACTGCATATTAATATATTTACAAATCATGTTGTATGATGTAAATGTGATCATTTAATTATGTGTATATAACTGACATATCATATATTTCTCATTATCTATTTATCAAATTGAAATGTTTATTGTTTAGAAAATAATAGTATGCAATCAGTTTTAATGATTTTATATATAAAAAATCTATATTACGCAAGTAAATTTTCTGTTCTTACATAAATAAAGAAGAATTTTTTTTTAAATGTATGAAATATTCTCCCACTAAACAACATAATAATCATCATCCAAATAAAAAGTAAATTATAATTTTGATTCGGAATGGGTCATTATAAATATGACTGGCCAAAATAAGATACAATTTTAGTTATTTTTTTAATACTGCTATCTATGTTTTCAAACATACTTCTTTTTAATAATGTTATCTATGTTTCCAAACATACTCATTTTTAATACTGCTATCCATATTTCTAAATAATTCTCATTAGTACTTTAATTTTAATTATATAGATATATACTATAATTTGATATAGTTTTCTCTCATTTTTTCTTATAAATATTTAACTTAAATTTCTCTTAATTTTAATTGAAAATATTTTACGTATGTCAAAATCTAATTAATTAACTAATACACCAGTTTAGAAGGTTGTATGTGGAATTTGGTTTGAGTATTAGTTTGTTAGAGTTGGTTTTGACTGCTTCTAATATGTTTTGCCTTTGCCTCAGAGACTGCTGAGCCTAAAAGGTGATATTTTTATGGACTTGTAATGCCCTATACAGAGAACATCCACCAATTGCACAAGTCTCATCTTTCTTGCCCGCAACGTGAAGCTGGAGATGTGTGTGTCTAGTCTGGAGACAAGCTTCCACAATGTCACAACCGATTTTAGTGTTGTTGAAATTGTGAAAACCCATGTCCAACTCTATATTGTCCGATTAGTACGAAATTGTCTATTTATGTAAAGAAGCAAGCCCGCATATATTTACTTTTAGTTTACCTCCTAAAATACTTCGTACTAATTAAATTTGGACATCTCTTTATACATTAGACACTCTTTGTCTAATTCTCCAGTATAGATTTAGTTTGATATTTTACAAGTGTGGTTAAAGAGGACATGGCAGACATGAAGGAGGAAATGGCAGCAATCAATCAGCTCCTCCGAACAATTTTTCCCCAACAAGTAGATATTGGACATCCCACATATCAACTTCCTTGTTACATTCAAGTCCCTTCTTCTCAGCCTCTCCAAGCCAATAACATTTAGATGTATGTTGTCTATTTTTTTACTTGTCTTTTATAACATTTTGCTTAAAACTTTTGTGTCTTTGGTTCTTAGTTATTCTTGTAATGTTAGTAATTCGTAAACCTACTTTTATAATGATTTCATGTTTTCTGTTATAATTGTGCATTATGATTGATATTGTAGTTGATTTTGCTCAATTTGGGTAATTAAAACAAATAAATATGTAAGTCACTACAACAAAATGTGGCTAACTTATGCACTACAAAGAAGTGCCAAAATCATGGCTAAAGTATAGCCACTACTGAAACCGTTGCTAACTTAGGTACCCCATAAAAGTGCCAAAACCGTAGCTAAATTAGCAACGATATTAAATTACAAAACCGTGGCTAGATGGCCGCATACAGTCAGTGGCTACAACTTATAACGATGGACTTTTTCAACCGAGAATCGTAGCTGTTTTCACATAGCCACGATTTTCAGCTATATAATCATGTTTCTGTCGTGGTAATGCTGTGGCTATAGCAAATTTTTCTAGTAGTACAGCTATACCAAAATAATTTCCAAAATATAGCCTATCAAATTTTATATATTTAGTGGCGTAAAGCTAATGCTTCTTATGCTTTAGTAAAGGGACGGTTCAAATAATAGTGATGCACATATGAGACTAATTAAATTCAGGGAATAAAAACCAGTCACTAGAAGGTAAACTACTAATTAAACAACTCCGTATTTGCTGCCTAGTCACAATATCTCATTCCTTCCTCTATAAAAAGGGTATGTTCTCTAAAGTTACTCACCCACTCACATTAACACCTAGAGAAGCAAAACATCCGTCTGAAAAATGGTACATGCTACGATGCAGTCTTCTATGGTTGGGGAGATTGAGACAACTATTGAGATCAAAGCTCCCGCCCAGAAGTACTACCACATGCTCACCGGAAAACCAAAAGATCTTCCAAAAGCCACTCCTGACAACCTCCAGAGATGTGATGTGCTTGAGGGAGCGCCTGGACAAGTTGGCCGTATTCTCAACTGGAACTATGTCACTGGTAAGCCCAAACGTTATTTAGATATATTGTTTTGCAAATACATAAACACCCGTTTTGGGTGTAGATGGACAGTCAAAGGTGATGACGGAGAGGATCGAGGCACTGGAGCCGGAGAACAATCTGATGGTGGCTAGGGTTATTGGGGGAGATCTAATGAAAGATTTCAAGAACTTCTTCCTCACTATTCAGGCGACCCCGAAACAAAGAGGACCTGGAAGTTTGGTTAAGTGTCACCTGAAGTATGAGAGGATTGACAAGAAGGTGGCTGACCCAGAGGACATACTTGGGTTGTTTGTCAACGCATCCAGAGACATGGACAAAATGCTTTCTTCTGAATTCTAGAGGATTCTTCGCATATCTATTCATCATCTACCCGTCCAACTATCTATCTATATATTATGTCTGGGTGTTTAGTATATATTTCTCAATAATGTGATCTCTCTATGATTGAAGAGATCTAATATATGCAAGTATGTCATAATCATACATGATGTCTAGTACTGTGTTACGTATCTTTGAAGTTGTAAGTTTAAACTGTAACTTGTGTGTTGCAATGATCTTTCTTCTTGATCAGTATTCATGTACGCAAGAAGACTGGTGAGAAGGTGTCTCCTCATCCTCACCCTGATATTGCTGCATATTGGAGACAAACCCAAAGCAAAGTCATCAAGGCCAATATAAACTACATAAAAAGGGACAAACATAACAGATTTAAAACAAGAAATATTAAAAGAGCTTTGATTAGATAGAAGTACATTGAAAAGCAAATAGCTTAGCTCCCATGAACTTTTTTTATGTGCAAAGAAAGATAGTAAAAGATATCATTAAAATGCAATATTAGAAAAGATATTGAATAATATCTTTTGATATCCTATTCTGAAAATATTTAAATAATATATTACGATTGTGTGTATATTTAATAATAATTAAGTTTATTATATGCAAAATAATTAAAACAAAATAAAAGAAATGATGAAACACAGATCAGTGACCGTATTAACTGCGGTGTTTATAAAATCAGTAACGAAGATCTTACAGTATAGTCTATGCTTCCTTCTCTTAGTAGGGAGTATTATTCATCATAGTTTCTTGTTCCCTTTTGTCTGTCTTGGCGACTTTGAGATGTGTTTCCAGCTGTGAAGCTCTTCAACCTGCAACAAGGTGTGTGTATTGTCTCTCTACATACATAACTGAATAGCCTTTGAATTAAATCATCTTCTCAACCCCTTTAAAAACAGGACCCCAGCAGATTTTTTGTAAGACTGGATCAGGACATCCTTTCACCTCTAGATGGGAAGAAACAGCTATATACTTACGAGACTATGGATTTCTGGGAGCAAATCAGATCTCCTAGGTATGCCTTTCTTTCAGAAACTGAAACAGTGAAAGTGTTATGGCGTTGACTTATGTGTTGGCAAAGGTAAGTAAACCTCTCTGGTTTTGTCCCCTAGTTAGTTGTTGTTCCCACTTCTATCACAAAGAAAGCGTTCTGTTTCTTCTATTAACAGATTGGTCCCAACGCTCTCAATCTCTGCAAATGCTCGTGTTGGCCCGGACCGGGTGTGAGGCTTATCAGCTGTATCATCCTTGACGACGTTGAGATCATGGTATGCCTTCTTTAGTCATGAGTTAAAGAAAAAAATTGGCAAACTTTTGTTGCCAGGGATTGACCTTTGAGTGAATGTTTTCACAGGAAAATGCAGTGGTGACCAATGCTATCGTGGGTTGGAAATCTTCAATAGGGGGAGATGGTCACGTGTCCAGGTATGTTGAAAGAGTCTTGACTCATTCTGTTCCATGTTTGGTGTGTCCTTTACAATCTTGAACCTTAAGCTTCACTTTGTTGATATGTTAAGTGAGTAGCAACATTGTTCCTAGAGCAACATAATTAGAAATTTCAAAATGTCCAAAACTCTTATACAAAGTCTCTAACTTGTACATTTTGATGATACAATCATTTATATGAAACAAATTTTCTCAAAAAAATTAAATTTCTTGCTCAAAACCTACTTTGAAAATTGCCCACTCTCTCCAAGGACGAGTGAACACCACCGCCTCTTGTAGCTCATATCTGTCTATGGATTTTCTTTGATTTTGGGTTTTTTTCCATTTTCTCAAAAAAGGGCGAAAATGGAAAACCGTATAGTACACGTTACCGTCTTCAGCCTTGACGCTGTCCGTGAATTAACTTTGAATAAAACTGTTAGAATTTATGAGATGGATTGCCAACCGCGAATTAACTTTGAAAAACTTAAGAGCAAAACAAACTGAGACAAGTTTAGGATTTGTATATTGATTATGTGAATAAATACATTTATAATATTTAGAGCCATATTTAAGTAGTTTCAAATTTTGATTTTATTTTAGGGAAACATTTTTATTCTATTAAAAGTCCTTTTTCTAATCTTAAAAGAAACATGGTACTTCTAAATATCTATCTTCCTTGCATCTACAATGGCTACATTCGGCCAGATTATGTTCGGCCAACAAATGCTGATATTTAATGTTATACAGATATTTAATACACTTCCATAATTAACAGAATATAATTATCTTAATTCATTCATATAAATCCCTTGACTTTTAATAAAATCGCAAAGAATATATACAAGAGGAATAGTTTGGACTAAATTTAAGATTTGCGAAGAAAGCATTGCATCACACAAGTAACAATTTACAACTTACAACTTCAAACGTACGTAACACACTGGACGTCGTGTACGTATGAATATGACATACTTGCATATTTAGCCTCTTCAGTTTGAGAGAGAGCACATTATTAACACTCAAACACACTGCATAAATAGAGAGATTGCAAGATAGATAATAGATAGATGGATAAATAGATATCCCAAGAATCATCTAGACTTGCGAAGAAAGCATTTCATCCATGTCTTTGGATGCTTTGACAAAAGCTGCGAGTAGACTCTCTGGGTCAGGTACCTTCTCGTCAATCTTCTCATACTTCGTGTGACACTTAACCACACTTCCAGGTCCTCTTTGCTTTGGGGTCGCTTGGATAGTCATCAAGAAGCTCTTGAACTCTTTCATGAGATCTCCCTCAAGTATCTTAACCACCATCAGATTCTTCTCCGGCTCCAGTGCCTCGATCCTCTCCTTCACCACCTTTAGCTGTCCATCTACACCCAAAACGGATGTTTAACAATAAAATATTTTTGATTTTGCAGAATAATATATCTAAATAAAGTTTGGACTTACCAATGACATAGTTCCAGAAGAGGATACTGCCAACTTTTCCAAACTCTCCCTCGAGCAGATCACAGCTCTTGACGTTGTCAGGAGTGGCTTTCGAAAGATCTTGTGGTCTTCCGGTGAGCATGTGGTAGTACTTCTGGGCTGGAGCTTTGATCTCAACATCTACCTCAAGCTCCCCTACCATAGAAGACTGCATCGTAGCCTCTGCCATTTTTTCAGACGGATGTTTTGCTTCTCGAGTGAGTATCTTTAGAACTCATAACCCCTTTTATAGAGGAAGGAATGAGAAATTGTGACTAGGCAGAAAAATCGGATTTGTTGATTAGTTTATCTTCTGGTTACTAATCACCCGCTTTTTTTTTTTTTTTTTGAACAATCGGAGTTTGTTGATTAGTTTATTTATTTTTTATTTTTGGGCAAGTTAATTAGTTTATCTTCTGATTAGTTTATCTTCACCACTAACCAAACTATTATTAGTGGAAATTAATCATCTCTCTTCCCACTCAATGGCCCATATTAAATATGATATCTTTGACAAGATTTATATAATTTATCTCATTTTCTCACCATTGGATTTGCTTTTGTACTTCAACCTTTAACGATTCAGATTTATTCCTTTAGATGAAATCAAAGCAACATGATGAAGACAGATCCAAACCTAGTATTTGTGATTAAACATTGGAAGAGTCAAAGAAATTAAAGAAGAAGAAAAATCTAGACTTCTTCCGATATAACACTTTTTCACTTTCTCAATGGGTGAGTAATATAAACAGTTGATCTTGGATCTCTTATTCTTCATTATACCCAAGAACAATCTTAAAAATCCCTTCTTTCTTTTGTAAAAGTATCCATGTATATGTTTGTGATCAGTGTACATGTAACTTTCTGTAAATGTACATGTCTACAGTCATCTGTTATGTACACGAGGACAGTTAATCAAACGTTTACATTGTGTACACAAAAATGTTAATAAATATTACTATTCATTGCACCACCAAAATATTGTTCATCTTTGTTTGTACACCAGTTTTTGTGTTCATATTTTACTTTCTTGTACATTAAAATATATCAGTTTCCATTTGATAGTGGAAGTCACAAAGAGGACCTGGAAGTTTGGTTAAGTGTTACCTGAAGTATGAGAGGATTGACAAGAAGGTGGCTGACCCAGAGGACATACTCGGGTTGTTTGTCAACGCATCAAGAGACATGGACAAAATGCTTTCTTCTGAATTCTAGAGGATTCTTCGCATATCTATTCATCATCTACCGATCTATCATCTACCTGTCCAACTATCTATCTATATATTACGTCTAGTATATATTTCTCAATAATGTGCTCTCTCTATGATTGAAGAGACCTAATATATGCAAGTATGTCATAATCATACATGATGTCATAATTATACATGATGTCATAAACTGTAACTTGTGTGTTGCAATGATCTATCTTCTTGATCAGTATTCATGTACGCAAGAAGACTGGTGAAAAGGTGTCTCCTCACCCTCACCGTGACATTGCTACATATTGGAGACAAGCCCAAAGTAAAGTCATCACGGCCAATATAAACTACATAAAAAGGGGACAAACATAACATATTTAAAACAAGCAAGATTAAAAGAGCTTTGATCAGATAGAAGTAGATTGAAAAGAACATAGCGCTCATGAGCTTTATTATGTGCAAAGAATGTAAAAGGAAAGAGGGAAACTATGAGTTGTCACCAAGCGCGTAAAGATCTATAGATTTCATAGAAAGCGTTGGAAGTAGGCTGGCTGCTAGGCAGCCTTACATCATAGATGTTTTTTGGAAGAAACCTACTAATATGGCTGTAGAAACATAGGATTCCACACTTTTATTGGGCTTGTTTAAAACTGTAGTTCTTCCCTTGAATTAATGTCCAAAATATAAAAGTATTTTTCAACGTAATTTTCACTGCAGTGCATTTGCACTAGGCCCCATATTTTCTTGAGCCGTACCTGACTACCAAGAGTCGTTTACCTGCAATGCTGCAAAAACATTTTTTTTTTATTAATTCTCATTCTCTCGCCCATTATGTGCATTCAAATTCGACTTAATTACTCATCCTAGCCGTGAATTTATTTTCGTAGACAGGGATGTCAAATAGAAATTGTACCTGAGCTCCATAATAAATAATACCTCATGTTCAGTACGTGCCTGACATCAAGTATTAGAAGCTGGAGTTTCCGAAATATATCATCCATTTTACCGGCCTTTTATTGACTCATCCACTGAGCATAATGGTAGATTGGCAGTGATGGTGAGATTTAGTTCTAAAGGTAGCGAGTTCAAGCTCTACTCTTACAAAATTTACAAAATCCATATAAAAATTTGTAAGTACCTATAATCACGATCTATAGTTTTGGGCCGGCACTGCTCATGTTATTGTTGAATTGTATCGTTACATGTGGTTGTTCATACTACATGCACGACCTCAAGGTACCTTGTGTGTAAATTGTAATTGATGATAAATTTTCCATGTCTTTGATAATAGCCAGCGAACAATGATAGTAGTGCGGTTATACACCACTGAATCAGTCCCGCAATTATAGACTGCCAGAATCTTATTATTGTCTTTATCAACTAGTTGGCCTATTCCTTCCCTTTCCTAAGGGACCGTTATATATATTCCACTATTCTGCAACTCTCACCCTTCATATTGGTTCCTGCAACTTTTTGAGTTTTTCACATACTCAACAATTAATTTCTTAAAAAATAAAAACAACTAATTTCTTTGCCAAATTTTTTTCCAATTCTTAACCACTTCCCCTCATCTGCATCTCATTTAGAAGGATATTTCTTACGCTTGCATCCTATATACTCATACTAGGTTCATCTTAGACTCCTAATTATAGTCCTTGGCATATGTGTTTATAGGCCTATAGGGATGCTAATTCAGGCAAAAATTCACTGTTGGTGTTAACTGGTCAATCGAGATAACGTTCATCCTCGACTATTATGTTAGTAATATTATAAATGTAGTCATTTTGTCATATAACATTTCTCTTTCCATAAAGAGTCAGGTCTTTTCCTCAGAAGATACGTCATGTTGTATGGTAGATTGCAACATGACATTTGGCTCTCACAAGAAAAATCACACATCGTTATATGTGATATGACAATCATTGTCATAGATGTGAAGAATTTGATAAATCTATTTTTCATACTATCTTCTAATGTCCACCAACTCTACAAACATGGGTATTTTCGAGTATGTCTTCAAGCCCAAATCGAGCTAGTGAGACATAGATTTTATGTTTTGAGGTGTGACAACCTTGAAGGATGAATATCTGCGGATTGGTAGACCACAGAAGAAGTTGTGGCGCAGTGGAGAGTCACAGTGGTTTTGGATGACAGAGGAGGAGAGATGGGTAAACCTCCAGCAAGTTGAGGCTCGGGTAGTCCAGAGTCCGAAGAGAAAAACACATAGATCTTTTACATAGAGGATGAAGATGGTGGTAGAGTAACTAGCCGAAGATAGAAAGAAGAGGACGGAGCAGAGAATCCGACGCCAGCACTACCTCAGTTATTGCGTTTAGGAGCGTATTAGGGTGATTTCACTTTTTTTAATTACGAACAACTTTCTTATTGTCATTTTTTCTCTTAACAGCATATTCCTCGACCTAAAATAAAGTTTCTTGAATTCCCAAAAGAGAAAAACGATATCGAAATAATTGATTTCCTTGTTACCCCTTTTGGCTAAAATTCATATCTTTAACTTAAAGTTTATTCGACATTTTTTTTTTCAATTGTGAATTCTCTCAATCTTCTTGTGGTCTCCGCTCAGAACTATAAAGCTTTATGTATTCTAGCTCGGAGTATCATTTTTCTTTAAAAACATTATATACTTACATTTAGTGAATTTTACGTACAAAAGTTCCACCTTAAAATGCGGGTAATTGTTACAGTTCTCTAATTATATTATTAGTTAAATTACTCATCCCCATAGTGACTTTCTTCGAGGTTATTAGATAGTACCACAAGTTATTCCCAAAGTCGATGTAGAGAAATTTTCTAGTGTTCAGGTATATATAGTGTACATGGCTGTCACCGATTATCTCCTGGTGGGAGTTTGTTAGAACTAGTTGGTTCGTCTGTTTAGTTTACATATTGGTTCTCTGAAAGTTTTCACTATTTTCATTTTTAATTCGATTTCGTATTTAACAAACAAAAAGCTTTTGTGTTGTGACATCATAACGGGAAAATACGAGAAGTTGTAGATACAAGTACGCGCACGGTCTCAAGACAATGTAGATTGTCTGAATCATAATATCGATCTATAAAGACGTGTCTACTCTTTCTAAAAAATAAACGGGTCTACTCTTGTTTTTAGTAGATGTAATGCAAGTGATCGATTATAGCACCTAGGCTTTACAGTCTTTTTTTGACTGAAAAAGAAAAAAAAAAAAGACTTTAATCGATTCACACAATTGACTACAAGAATCTTGTACATGTTATCAACTAGTCTTGAAACACGCCTTTAATCGATTCACACAATTGACTACAAGAATCTTGTACTTGTTATCAACTAGTTGGCCTGATTCCTGCAACTTTTATTTTTTGAAGAAGGTGTTTCCTGAAATTTTGAGTTTCAAAAATAGGGTTTAAACAGATGGGGGCAGAATGGGCATACAGCGATGTTTTAATTTGTTAGTAAAGAGCCAAATTATTTTTTAAACTATTATTTCTTGCCAGCTGCCGATTGGCTGAATACAAAATTTCCAAAGAAAAAATACATTAGTTATATATTTATTTGTTTTTTTTTTAAATTAACGTTATTTTCAGAATTTATATTTTAATTTATTAATAAGTGCCCAAATCTGCTTCAGTTTTCCTTTTATTATAAGAAATTAAATTTACATGTCTAAATTCAAATATAAAATATTTGTACTGTATGTCAAAATTAAATTGGAATAAACTTTTAATACAGTACATGTCAAGTTCTGATTAATTGACTATATACACGTCAGGATCTGTTAACTACAAATTTAAAGACATTAACTTACACTATAAATTGCTTACATTTCTTGTTGTCTAATAGATACATGCAAACATTTCTTCTTCTTTTTTTAACAACAGCAAACATTTCTTCTTATGTTTCTTATTGTCTTCACGTTTATAATATAAAAACCATGTTTGAGAAACAAGTACAATTTTTGTATACTAATTGTCAAGGGTTCAAGGAAATAAGATAAGTTATATCTAAATGCAAAAAGGAAAGAAAGCCATAGGAGAACTTCAACATTATTTCCAAATAACAATGGTGTATATATGAGACTAATAAAATTAAAATTAAAAAACGTCACCAGAAGATTAATTAACTGATTCCAAGTTGTCTGCCTTGCTAGTCAGAATTGCTCATTCCTTCCTCTATAAAAGGGGTTATGTGTTCTAACTATACTCACTCACAGTAACACCAAGAGAGGCAAAACACCCGTCTGAAAAAATGGCACAGGCTACGAGGCAGTCTTCTATGGTTGGGGAGCTTGAGGTAGATGTTGAGATCAAAGTCCCCGCCCAGAAGTACTACCACATGCTCACCGGAAGACCACAAGATCTTCCAAAAGCCACACCTGACAACATCAAGAGATGTGATGTGCTCGAGGGAGAGCCCGGAAAAGTTGGCAATATCCTCTTCTGGAACTATTTCGTTGGTAAGCCCAAATGTTATTTACATATATTCAGCAAAAACATAAAGGATGTTATGGTTAAACATCCGTTTTTGTGTAGATGGAGAGCCGAAGGTGGCGAAGGAGAGGATCGAGAAACTGGAGCCGGAGAAGAATCTGATGGTGGCTAGGATAATTGAGGGAGACCTAATGAAAGAGTTCAAGAGCTTCTTGATCACTATCCAGGCGACCCCGAAGCAAGGAGGACCTGGAAGTGTGGTTAAGTGTCACATGAAGTATGAGAGGATTCACGAGAAGGTGGCTGACCCAGAGAATCTACTCGCCGCTTTTGTCAAAGCATCCAAAGACATGGACGAAATGCTTTCTTCTGAAGTCTAGAGGATTCTTCGGATCTCTATTCATCCATCCATCTATCTATTTATCTATTGTGTTTGAGTGTTCTACATATATTTATCAATAATTTATCTCTCTAAAACTGAAGAGATCAAAATATGCAAGTATGTCATAATCATACACGATATCTAGTGTGTTACGTATGTTTGAAGTTGTAAGTTGTAAGTTGTAAACTGTAACTTGTGTGATGCAATATAGTATGTGCTTTCTCAAATCTTAATTTAGTCCACAGTATTCATCTTGTCAATATTCTTTGCTTTTTCATCAAAAATCAAGGGATTTATATGAAGGAATTAAGATAACTATATTTCATGCTGCAATCCTTCTCATAAATTCTAAAAGTGTCTTTTGTCATAAACAAAAAAAGTTTCATTGATAACTTTTCTCCTAATTATAACACTAGTAGTTTCCGCTCAACACTTGAATCTATCCTATTGACAAAATATTATATGTAAATAATATTATCTTTATGTGTAACTTATGACTTTGCCACTCAAATTTCAACTACATAAGATTAATTTTAGCGTTACTTACAACAATTTTAATAGAATCAACATCATACATGAGATTATTTTTCCATTAAAAAGATTTTAATTTTACATACTTTCTCTTTTGCTATAATAAAATATATATTCTTAAGACTAATAACTAAATCTCAGCTTTAGTTTTAAAAAGGAAAATACAATTGAACTAACTATATTTTTTATACTAAAAAATTTTAACCAGTGTTTTGAAACACGACGATCCGCGGCCAAACCAGAAAGCCATGATAAATTTAGTTGGAGTTTTGTTAAAAAAAATATTTAAAACCCCAATAAAATTCACAAAATTAAACATTAAAATCCAGAACCCTGTTAACAGTTGAATCAATAAAAAACAGTTACTTAGTTTTTAGTTAATTATGTTTTTAAAATATGTTTTGTAGTCTAAGCTTTTTAATTAAGAAGTTAAGTGTTCCGTTTTATTATTGTCTTCCTCTTCTGAACTATGTCACTTGAAGAAAATGAACTGAATGATGGTAGAGGGTACCAAAATTAGTTGATGTTATTTGGTTTTAGTTTATTTTGTTATCAACAATTTATTACAATAGTGTTTTATTTTTGGTTTATTTTAGATTTGAAATTTAATTTTATTATTCACATTAGACATTTAAATATTTATGAAATTTGAATCTTGTTTATTTTTTGTTAGTTGTTCTAACTCCTAAGTTCTTAAATTGTTACAAAATAAAAAAATAGTCTAAACTATTTTCTGATATTTTGTATGTCAGATGAAAATAAAAAATATACAAACTAAAATTAAGTAGTTTCTAAAGGTTTCTTAAAACATAAATATGTACATATCCAAACTATTATTTATGTTTTAAAAATATGTAAGAAATACTTAATATTAGTTTCTATATATTTATTTTCATAGCGATAATATTATTATATAAAACTATTTAATTTATTAATTTGCGGTTCATCTACGGTCGACGACCCAATGATCCAATGTCCTAAGTCTCAATATTAGTTGGTCGGTTATGTCGGTCGGGTTTCAAAACACTGATATTAATTTAAATAAAATAAAATATTTTTCCACCACTCAAACCGATTTACAAACATAAACAAATTAAAATTAATTTCACTAATCAAGTTTTGAAAAATACCGGTGAAAATCTAGTATTCTAAGGGTTTGTACAAAAGTAGATGAGCCAAAAAAAAAACTTATTGCCAAAACATTTTTAGAAAATAAAATCGTCGAAAGTAGGGCCTAGTCAACGAGCCAAATCTGTTGGACCATCTTATCGTTTCTGATATGGGTGGGACGGATCGGATATCCAGAATATTTTAAGATATCTGGATTCGGATCCATCGGATCTCTAAAATTGTTATATGGATACGTGATATTTGAATATCTAAGGTTAGGACATCCGGACTAAAATCCGAATATCCATTGATATCCGAAATGCATTTAAAAAAATAAATTAAATTTAATAACTAATTTCCTATTTATTTTTTTTGCAAAAAATGAAAAATCCTTGAAATTTAATAAAAATAAATTTATTTATTTTATATAAGACTTATATATAATATACATATATAACTATAATTATTTTAAATCTTTTAAAAATATATGTGTGTCCAAATCTCTTAGATATCCGTTTTTCGGATTGGAGCAAATCTCAGATCGGATAACGATTAGCGGATATCAAGTCTCAGCCCTAGTTACTAAGATGATTCTGCTCTCTTCAGCCAAGAGGTTTTCTGGGATAACTCTTGGATAGCCTATGGTGAGGAGACACATCAATGAATCAATACCCACAATTATTGAGTATAAGAATCCTGTAGTTGTTATCAGCAAGTTGGTCTGATTCTTCAGTTTCCCAAGGGACCATATATATTCCAACATTCTGCAAGTCTCTTCTTTTTTACTCTGATTCTTAACACATCTTCAACCATTATATTGTGGTGGATATCATTTCCGTACATGTTGTAGGCGTTGAAGGGTTAACAGCACAAAAAGAAAAACTGCTAGATAAAAATTAGAACATTGTAACATATCAAACAACCCAAAGTTCAAAAATAAAAACCGATGTTTACTAGGAGGAAACTGAAAATGGAAGCATGCATTACCAAATGCTAATCTCAACGCAGGGAAATTCCTAGATGATAGACAATTCAACATTATTTCAAATAACATGTGATTACAAATATGTGCTGTTATTTATATATAAGGAATATTGTTAATGAATAGTTGGGAGAATTAATGAATTTACATATAAAGGGCTAAGATATGTGGATTTACCATCAATTAGTTTTAAGTTGTAATCGAAGTTTGTATGTATGATGTCAGAACCACATGATATAGGACCAGTCCATAGATGTTTCCACAATTGGCTAGGGTTAGCATAAGGGAGAGTGTTAATGAAATAGAGAACTTATATATCAAGAATTATGACTAATCCATTTATTATCAATTGATTTAATTTAAAAACCAATGATAAATCTGAATTTAACAAAAATAAAAGATGCCTTCAGAAAATAAAGCAAATTAAGCTCGACAATCTACCACCTTATTGACAGTTCTTCTATAAAAGGGGGTATGAGCTCTAGAGGTACTCATTCATTAACCACTTCCATTCTATAAGCAAACTAAAGAAGAATTTAATCATCTGAAAAAAATGGCGCAGTTGAAGCCTTCTTTACAAGGAGAGGTTAAGGCAGATATTGAGATCAAAGCTCCCGCCTCAAAATTCTTTCACATGCTCTCGGTGACACTACAAGATGTGTCTAAAGCCTCTCCTGAAAACATCCAGAGAGTCAGTGTCCAAGGGGGAGAGATGTTAAGAGTTGGCACTCACGTCACGTGGAACTATGTTCATGGTATGGAAATCATTTATACAACTATAGCTTGCTAGACGCTAGAAGAACTTATTAGTCGTTTTGGGTGTAGATGGGAAGCTAAAGGTGGCCAAGGAGACGATCGAGGCAGTGGACCCGATTGAGAATATGATAAAGTTCAGAGTGATAGAGGGAGATCTGATGAAAGAGTTCAAGAGCTTCCTATTTACGATGCAGGTGACCCCAAAGCAAGGAGGAACTGGAGGTGTGGTGAAATGGAACCTGTCATACGAGAGGATTGACGAAAACGTGGCTCACCCGGACACTCTACTCCAAATGTGTCTCAAAATGGCCAAAGACATCGACGAGATGCTTTTGTCTAAGGAATAGGCACTCGTCCTAAGGAGTAGACACTCGTCCAATATCTATATATATGTATCTATCTTTATGTCTTCGGGTGTTTTTTTATCTTTATGTGTTTGGGTCATGTTTTATATCAATAATGTTCTCTCTTTAGATCTAAAGAGATGTGAGTGATATGAAAGTGTGTTATCAGAAATATATATAAGTTATATTTTATGTTTTTAGTTGTTTTGTATACATTATAATATGCTTCTCTCTCTCTCTCTCTAGATTTCAAGTATGGAAACGTCATGCTTGTCAGCTTGTAATCCAAAATATGCGGCAACATATCCACCAAAACAAGAGGCGAATTCGTACAATGCCAAAAGTCTGTCGTGTTGGTGGTGATGACAATACACCATCTCTATATTAGTCTCCATATACATATATATATATTTATGTTTTTTGTAATAATGCAGATATAGACTGGATTTAGGTAATGAAACATATTCTGAACATATGCTAATGAAACACTGGTTTTGATCCCTAATTTATTTAAACTAATTTAGGTAGGTTTGATGACATTCATAAAGTAAATAAGTATTTTTAATGAAGATTTATTTTAAAATCTTTATGATTCCCAAAATTCAGAACCGTTTCATATGATTTGTCTTGTAAGTAGGCTGTCAATTTAAGCCACGATTTGCATGCTGTCAATTTAAGCCACGATATGATTTGTCTTAATATACTTTTTTGATAAAGAATTGAGCATATATATATTAAGCTATGGTGCAAAATGGGGCATCATGTTTTAACAGTACGTTCACGTTTGCTTAAATAGAGAGATTCATTTTTAGGAAAATATTTGTCAGCTACGCCTACATGATTACACATCTCAAAATAATTCAGGTTTAACTAGCTACATACAACGAAAAGCGCATTGCCAAAATGTTGTTTAGTTTCAACAACTACCTCTGTTCAGGTCTCGAATGAGTGCAATTACACATCCTAACCCTGGCATTCTTAGCTCTAGTCTTTTGAGAGGGTTACTGAGATAATACAAGAGTTTCAAGATAACCCTGAGGTTGTTCCCAAAGTCGATATATATATGTCGTTTTCTGTTATGGGAATGGGAATACAAGCTATATTTTAGATAAAACAAATTTTTGTTGAAGTTTCTACATGCTTGACCGCAAGTCATGATCTCAGTTTTCTATAATTATTGAGAAGGGTTTGTACATGGCTCTACTTTTATCTTTGTTGAATAGTCTTTGGTGGGGAGACACATCACTGAATCAATACCCACAATTATTAAGTACAAGAATTTTTTACCCGTTACCAACAAGTTGATTTGATTCCTTTACTTGCCTGGAGGGAGTAGGGACCATATATATTCCAACATCCACTGTCCCTTGATTACAATGACTCTTAAAACCAAAGTTCTAAAACATCTTCATTTATTATTTTGTGGTCTATTTCATTTCCATAATTGTTTTAAGGTGTTAAATTTAACAGCATAAAAAAAAGTGGTACTTATATAAGTTTAGAACATAGTAACATACCAATAAACCAATGTTTACTAGGAGCAAACTGAAAACGGAAGGATGCATTATCAAATGCTAATCACAAGGCAGGGATAGTCATCAATGGCATATAAGTCGGCATTATTTAAATAATGTAAAGGGTATACAGTAAAAAGTATATAAATTAATAAACACGATAAATTAAAAAAATTAATTTGGTCTCAAATTGGATCATTTCAAAATATGTTACAAAATGATAAAATAGTAAGATAATTTTAAAAAAAAAAATCATACGTAAATACATGATTTAATTAAATCATATATATATAGATTATTTATATAAATACAAAATATAGTATTGATTGTTTCACACAATGAAAATCATCTCTATTTTTCTTAACACTTTAAAATATTTTTATAATTATTAGTAAAATTATATCTAAAACCATATTTAAACTTTATTAAACATATTCCGTATACACCAAATAATATAATAGCAAAAATATGAAAATAAAATTTCTAATATTTAATTATGGTAAAATCAACTATTATTTATTTTACAAAATGTATTCTAAAAGATAGAAATCTAAAAAGGATATTCTATAAATTAGTAACTCTATAAATTAATAAAGTATTATACTTCAAACATTATTAATCTATATAGTTTTACTATATATATATGTGCAACTATTAAAATGTAAGAATAAAAATGTCACCAGAAAATAAAACTTAATTAAGTGACACAATCTACCACCTTATCTACGGTTGCTCTATAAAAGGGGTATGAGCTTTAGAGGTACTCACTCACTAACTCACTCTCATTCTAAAAGTAAACTTGAGAAGTATTTAATCATTTGGAAAAATGGCACAGGCAATGATGAAGTCTTCTTTACAAGGAGAGATTGAGGCAGATGTTGAAATCAAAGCTCCGGCCACGAAATTCTTTCACATGTTCGCAGTGAGACCACAAGATGTGTCTAAAGCCTCTCCTGAAACCGTCCAGGGATGTAGTGTGCAAGGGGGAGAGATGGGAAGGGTTGGCACTCTCATCACTTGGAACTATGTTCTTGGTAAGCAAAACTTGTATACATCAATATTTTACTGGACGCTAGAAAATGAGATTGGTTAAAACTGTGTGTTTGGGTGCAGATGGGAAGCCAAATGTGATCAAGGAGACGATCGAGGCAGTGGATCCGAGGAAGAATATGATAACGTTGAAAGTGGTAGAGGGAGATCTTACGAAAGAGTTCAAGAGCTTCCTAATCACGGTCCAGGTGACCCCGAAGCAAGGAGGAGGACCTGGAGGTGTAGCGAAATTACACATGGCATATGAGAGGATTGATGAGAACGTGGCTCACCCGGAGAGTTTGCTCCAAGCGGGTCTAAAAATGTTCAAAGACATAGACGAAATGCTGCTTAAGGAATAGATACTCGTCGAATATCTATATGTATCTATCTGTTATTTGGGTGGTTTGTAACAATAATGTGCTCTCTCTAGATCTAAAGAGATGTGAGTGATATGAAAGTGTGTTACCATAAATATCTATCAATTTGTCTATTATGTTTTTGGGTGTTCAAGAACTGAAGTGTATTAAATGTCTGTCATTGCGTATGTACACTTTTTCTCTTTTGTCAACTACTTATTTTATTTTGTGTTTAAAGTTAATGCACAAAAATTAAAATAGTAAAAAGATAGTATTATACAATTTCCACCAATGTAAAACGGATTAATATGATGCATTAACTCATGAAATTCATTGTTTGGGGATAATCTTTTTTTTTTTGTTTTCTTAATGTTTGAGAGGAATATTTAGGTAATACAAGAGTTTGAAGATAACCCCCAGCTTGTTCCAAACGTCGATAAAAAGAGTGTGGATAATCTTTTGAAAGATTTTTTTTTTTTTTTGGTCAACAGATCTTTTGAAAGATATATTGAGATAATACAAGAGTTTCAAGATAACCATCAGCTTGTTCGTGTTTCCGAAGAAACATAGAATGACAAAAAAGAAACAAGCTGGGTTTTTTTTTCTTTACCCCAGAGCCGGCTCAACAATTTTTGGGCCCCAGGGCAAAACAAAAATATTAAATTTTTAATATTTATTTTTATTAAAAATTTAAATATATTTTAATTTTTTATCATTGATCTTTATAAAATTTGGATGAAAATATACTATATACATATAAAATATTTTTGCGCCCCTTTTCAACTACATTTAATGAACATTTTAAAACTTTTATATAAAAATACGTAAATATAAAAAGATTAGACCCATTAATTGATAAGATATGGAGGGACACATATTTGGACTCGGGACGATCGCACCGTTTGTCCCCCCTCTCAGCCGGCCTTGCTTCTCCCCCAGCTTGTTCTAAACGTCGATATATAGAGGTCGTTTGTGATATGAGAATTGGAAATACCAGAAACTCTTTCTGATAAAATTGTGTTTGCTGCAGTTTCTATATGCGCGACCTCAGGTCATGATCTAAATTTATATTATTCAGAAGGTTTTACCGATGGCTCTACTTTTCTTTGTTGGATAGTCTTTAGTTTGGAGACAGTTTGAGAAAAGATTCCACTCAGAAATATAAATAGGAAATGAGTAATATATAAGAAATTTAGGTTAATCCACTAATTGTCAATTAGTTTTAAACTGAAAATCCAAGAAATTTATCATGGTATCAGAGTCAACCCACATCCTAACCCATTAATCTGACTTGGACAGTATCCCGATCATCTCATTAACTGATGGCCCATAGAAAGTTTAGTTCCACTGAGATAGCTAGAAAAAAAAAAAGCATTATCTTGGAAATGATATGATGGATTTCGAGATTAATGGTTAAATCCACCATTATTTTAAGGGAGAGTGTTGGAGAAAATATCTTACATTGAAAAAATGAATGAGACATGAATAATATATAAAAAATTTGGACCAATCTACTAATTGCCAATTGATTCTAAGTCGTAAGTCCAAAAAACTTATAAGAGATACATCATTGAATCAATACCACAATTATAGAGTACAAGAATCTTCAATGTTATCAACAAGTTGGTCTGATTCCCTCTTTTTTTTGGTCAAAGGTCTGATTCCCTCATTCCCTTTTTTCTGAACAGTTTCTGATTCCCTCATTCCTAAGGGACCAACATTCCACAAGTTTGCTTTACAATCATTCTTGAAACTGAAGTTTTATCACATCTTTAACCATTATTTTGTGGTCGATTTCATTTCCATATATGGCATAAAAGAACAAACTGGTACTTATATAAAATATAGGAGAAAATTGAAAAGTTAGCTAATCAGCAATCTCAAGGTATGGAAACTTTTTGATGATACTCCATCCGTTTCAATATAATCCATGTTTTAGAGAATATAATTTGTTTCAAAAAAAAAAATATTTTACATTTTCAATGTATCATTTAATGTTAAATTACAAATTTAAAAATATTTATTAAAATCATATTGGTCAAAAGTTATGAAAAACAATACATTGCAAAAAATAATACATTGGTAATTTAAAATTTTAAACTTTTTTTAATATGTGTGAAAAATACTAAAACATGGATTTTATTGAAATGGATGGAGTAGATAATTCGATATGATTTCAAATAAAATAAGTGATAAATATGTGCAGTTATTATTTAAAAAAATATATATCACCAGACAATCAATTATTCAAATTAATTTTTGAGTGATTTAGTGAATTACCCTTATTTGAAGCTCAAATTAGCAAACTACCATTGATTGGACATAAAGGACACTGACACAACCATTTGGCAAGGAAATGCCGAGAATACCATTTCTCTTTCCTCTCATTAACACGAAGCGTAAAAACATTTGTTAACATATAACACTTCTGTTAACGTCTACAATATTTGTTAACAGTCAACACATTTATTACCGCGAAACGTAAAAATAATTAATAACAGTTAACACTTTTGTTAATGTCTACAATATTTGTTAACAGCGAACATATTTATTAACGCGAAGCGTAAAAATAATTGTTAACAACTAACACTTCTGTTAACGTCTACAATATTTGTTAACCGCTAACACGACGTCGAATCTAAAACCCAGAAAATTGATATCATCAAAAAAATGTATCACTGAATTTTGTATTTCCAAATCACATTGAGTAAATTTAAAATTTATAATTATTATTTAAGAATCAAAGTGAACTCAAAAATATTTAACATATTTATTTTGCATGTAATTCATTTTGAAAATGATAAGAGGATAGAAGAGCATTGATAACGAAAATGAAAAAAAAAAATGACACACCCACATGTAAATGCAAGAAGGAAAGAGAAGGAGAAAAAGGGCAATTTGGTCAGACAAAGTAAATATGTCCCATCATAGGCAAGTGACTAATATACATCCCCATTTGGGATGTATGGGCCAATTAACTCTTAATTTTTACTAAATTTACCATGTGTTGACAGTTGCTCTATAAAAGGGGCTATGAGCTTTAGAGGTACTCATCCACTCACTATCATTCTATAAGCAAACAAGAGAAGTATTTAATCATCTGGAAAAAAAAATAGCACAGGCGATTATGAAGCCTTCTTTACAAGGAGAGCTTGAGGTAGATGTTGAGATCAAAGCTCCGCCAACAAAATTCTATCACATGCTCACAGCTCCACAAGATATGACTAAAGCCACTCCTGACTTCCTCCAGGGATATAGTGTGAAAGAGGGAGATGTGGGCAGCGTTGGCAATCTCATCACCTGGAATTATGTTCTTGGTAAGCAAAACTTTGATACACCTATAATTTGTTTTGTTAGACGCTGGTAAAATCTGCGTTTTGGGTACAGATGGGAAGCCACAGGTGGTCACTGAGAGGATCGAGGCAATGGATCCAAAGAATAATATGATACAGTTTAGAGAGATAGAGGGAGATCTGATGAAAGAATTAACGAGCTTACTGTTCACGATCCATGTGAACCCAAAGCAAGGAGGATCTGGAGGTGTGGTGAAATGGCACATGGCATACGAGAGGATTAACGAAAACGTGGCTCATCCGGAGAATCTGCTCCAAATGTGTGTCAAAATGTCCAAAGACATGGACGAAATGCTTTTGTCTATGGAATAGGCACTAGTCCTAAAGAGTAGACACTCGTCCAATATCTATATAT